ATTCCATTAGTCAAAATCATATGGAAATTGGAGTTTATGGAAATTTAATTTATAGAATAATATGTCGGGGAATAATTGTCTTGTAGCGCAGCGGCTTCCCACCAGGTCGAAGGTTTTGTTGACGGCCACGTCAGCCAATGAGAAAAGGATGAAAAATTTTAAAAAAATAAAAATAAAATGGATTTAGTGTTTTGCGTGATTGGTTCCCTTGTGACAAGGAGAGCGGTGGCAAAAAGACAAAAACAATAATATAGTACCGGAAATGACAATATTACCCCTCAAACTTTACCCATAACCTTATTATATGTTAAATAGTACAATGTTTTTTTCAGGGAAAAAAGTACATGGATGGTCAGAAATATACTAGGTCCATTTTTCATGTGCTTTCAATTTGAATTTCATATTCACATTTTAAAAATATTCATTACAATTAATGATTTTTTAAAAAAATATTTAAATATCATAATTAATTCGTTACAAATTATTATAAATTTTCTGATATGAAAAATGTATTATAGCCACAAAAATTTTAGAGGTCGGTTTAACCCTAAATAGTTTGTGAAACGATCTTGTGACATTTTTTTAATATTAATCTTCTAAACATATTTTCTAATTAAATATTATAAGGAATTTAAGAAGTTGTCAGATTTAGGACTAACTTAGTACTAGTTTGAATTAGTCAAGATAATTATAGTCAATTAATATTTTTCTCTTCAGATTTTATTAGTGTATTAGTTGATACCTTGTATTCTATTTAAACTGAATATGAAGGAAAGTTGAACCTTCGATCCTGTTTGTTTGAGTAATAATATTTTTAGATCTATTCATACTTTTGATGAACATATATTGTGTTACAGTGATAGTTTATAATATTTAAAATTTAATTTTATCTCTAAATTTTTAAGGTTGTTCTCATATAAATTTCTAAATTAGTGTGGTGTTTAATGTTTATAAAATAAGGTGGATAATAAATAATAAAAAATTATAAAATAAAGTATAAATAATTGTATAATACAAAGTTATTCCAATTAAGGTTAATTAGGGTTAACTTAATCTAATTTTATGAAAACAACTTACTATTTTTAAATAATCGATTTTTCCAACTATTTAATTGTTATTTTATTTTTCTATCTAATATTTGATTATCCAACATCTGTCTCGTATTAATATGCTTTGAAATCACGCTGATATTTACTTGTTAGTGCACATATTGTAAAATATTATAATTAATTTATTAAAATAAACAACAATTGGGTGAATTATCCTCTGGTTGGCGTAGAAATTTCTTTCCAAAAGCCTATGAGCGTTCTGTTTGGACAAAGGGAAAAGAAAGGGACCCCACGCTGAATTTGGATAAAGCTCACACACCAACGCTTACACACAAATCCACGTGTCGCCTATACTGCCAGCTGTCGTTGATAACTGGGCCAGATTGCTGAATGTCGCCACGTTTCACGTGTGATTCAGACAAATCTTTTTGAAACAGTTTCCATTTTCCAATTTTCTTTTATGCATTCTATTATCAGGTAAAGGGTAAGTTTTGGATAGGATGAAGACAAAACATAAAAGAAAAAAAGGTTTAGCTAATTAGAATTGGTTTGTTTTTTTTGACTAATTAAAAAAAAAATGGATATTCGAGAGTTATCCGAAATATTATGTAATAATATTGCAGCATGGCAATTAGTTCAGCTGACGTGGAATTAGCTGTCTAATCCACAATGTAGTGGACCCGGCATTATCTTTGACGCGGCGGCTCGTTTATCAGCTAGTATGAGTCAACCGGACCCGAAAATTCTGCTATAAATAATTTCAATTTTCCTATTGGAAATTGCATTCGAATTCCAAAAACAGGTGAATCAAGCTTCTACTTCAACCTCTGCTTTGAGCCATGGTGAAGATCCCGGTAAATGTACGGAATTCCGGTGAGGATGACTTGTTGTGTGGAACGGCGAGCTTTTCCGATGTATTTTTTAGGTTTCTAGAGGACGGTGAGATGTCGTCGGGAAATTACTGTACATCTGGTGACCGGAATGGTTACTCTGACGACGAAGAGGATGGAAACTCCTGCGATTTGGAAGAGAGTAGGGCGTTTTGGATCTCTCGAGATGAACTTCTTCTCGAGATGAACTTGTTGAATTTGGTTTTTCAGGCGACGTTACGGAGAACGAGTTCGATTGAGTCGAGAATCCGCCGAGCGACGGCGGAGATTCTGAGGGAAATGAACATAGAGTCGACGATATGCAAGTGCGGGACGTCGCCGGCAGGAGGCTGCCGGAGTTGCTGGCAAAGAGAGATCTGTAATCGGATGCGAATCGCCAGTTTCAATTGCGCGGTGTGCAAATCGAAATGGAAAAGCGCATCTGACATTCCATCAGGTAAACAGAAACAACAAATTGATGATTGACCTAACCGATCAACAGAACTGAAAAGCAACCAAAAAATGGAATCAAATTAGGAATCTAATTGGAAGAATCCCTAATTTTCAGGCGAACATTCGTATTTGGAAGTTGTGGACAATTCGAGTTCGAGAAGAGGCGAAATTCGCGTGGTGATCGAGCTCAATTTTAGGGCAGAGTTCGAGATGGCTAGAGCGAGTGAAGAATACAACAAATTAATCAGGCGATTACCGGAGGTGTTCGTCGGGAAATCAGAGAGATTATGGTCTCTGATTAAGATCCTATGCGCGGCGGCGAAGAGGTGCACTAAGGAGAAGAAGATGCATCTGGCTCCATGGAGGAAACAGAAATACATGCAATCGAAGTGGCTAGGGAGGAGGGAGAGGGCGGCGGAGACGTCGGCGGATCTGCCGGTGAATTTCTCGGACCGGCCGGCAAAGTCGAAGGCGTCGATGCTAACATTCGATCTGCTAGACAATTTGGCTGGCCTGCATTGCAGCGCAGTCGAAGTTGTTTGAGGCTGAATTTGGGGGTTAGGTTTTGTTAGAATGTGTTCATAGATCAAATTGATTATGCCCTCTTTTAATGCCTAGAGTTGTTATGAATTTGGTAGGTTTAAATTTTATATAAATAATATACTTCCGATTTTAATTCATTTTTATCCTCTTTCAGTCAATTTTGGTAATCAATTGAAGTTGTTGCACAATTCTATTTTTTATATAATGTTCTTTTTACAAATTAAATACAATGCAATTAAAAATAGAGAATCTCCTTACCACGAGACCTCTAAAAAAAATATTATATTATATTTACTTTCAATATATATACAATAATATGCTTAGTCACACCCCCATATACAAAGTTTAAATTCAAATATTTTTACAACAAGGAAATCGCGTCTAATCCACATCAGTTAAAGTGGTGGAACGTTTTTCTAAATTAAAAAAGAATTTTTTTTACATTTCTCTAATAAAAAATATCATTCAGTATTATAATCCCTTGAATGAGAGTTAAGGAACTAAGAGAGTTCACACCGGAATAACCGAATAGGTGAAAGAGAAGTTTGAAATAGGAACCAAAATAGATGGCAAAGGTCTTCATATTGATATCATAAATAATTCTTCAAATAAACAAATAAGAGGATTGTATAATAAAAAGACGATAAGATATAAGAGTTAATACTCAAGTACGTATCTGCTAGTAATGAGCTTGAGGTATTACAAATGGTATCAGACTCAGACATCGGGAGATGTGCCAGCAAGGACGCTAGATTACTAAGAACATCATGTTGCAAAGAAGCCGTTTGTCTGTGTTCATGGCTGCTAAAGTTTTTGATATGTTGAAGCATGTGACAGGCCCTGAGGTGAATCAAAACTTATCCCATTTTTACCTTTATATATATAATTTCTTGGATATGAATTTTATATATGTACTTTGAGTGTTAGATGGGAGCAAAGTTGTTCAAGAGGAAGCTAAAGAATTCAAGCATTATGATATCAAATATGATTGGTCCTACGGAGAAACTGGCTTTGGTCAATCGTCCAGTTAAAGGCTTATACTCCACTGTACTTGTGTGCCTCAGGTATCATCTATTGTCTAGTTTTGAAACGTTTAAACTGGGATGTTCAACATTGGTTGGGGAGGAGAACAAACCACCATTTATAAGGGTGTGACAACCTTTCCCTAACAGACGCGTTTTAAAGCTTTGAGGGAAAGCCGGAAAGGGAAAGACCAAAAAGGACCATATCTGCTAGCAGTGGATATGGGTCGTTACAAATGGTATCAGAGCCGTGTTTTAGATGATATGCCAGCCTTCTTGCTATTCGCCAAAAGGAGGTAGACATGAGGTGGTGTGCTAGTAAAGATGCTGGGCTCCAAAGGGAGGTAGATTTGGGGGCGGTCCCACATCGATTGGAGGAAGGAAAGAGTGTCAGCGAATACGCTGGGCCCCGAAGGGGGGTGGATTGTGATGTCCCACATTGGTTGGGGAGGAGAACAAACCACCTTTTATAAGGGTGTGAAAACATTGATTGGAGGAAAGAAAGAGCCCCAGCGAAGACGTTGGGCCCCGAAGAGGGGTGAATTGTGGTGTCCCACATTGGATGGGGAGGAGAACAAACCACCCTTTATAAGGGTGTGGAAACCTTTCCCTAGCACACGCTACATAAACAAACCGTGTAACTTTTGAAATAATATGAATCCCATAATGTTTAAAGGTTTAAATATAATTATTACTCATAAATATTGAGATTAACGTTTCTAATTTGAATTGTAACAATTGTGAGTTACATGGGAGACATGAGGATTGTGTTTGGAGGTGATAAGTGCTTCATAGATCTACACAAGTTGAAAGCATGCGTTGAAGATGCCTTCCAAAGGATGCTGATTAAAGCTCGTTTAAAAAATTAAAGTGATTTTAAACTTTTCCATTTCCAAAGGATGCTGATTAAAGCTCGTTTAGTTTTCATAAGAATAAACCCTCAACAAGATACAACTATATATATATATATATATATATTTTTATGTTGGTTTGAGTTTGTATTGTCATGTTTCATGCTTCAAATAAGTTATTCAACCGTTTTATTCCTGTCTGAAAAAGCCTCATAAAACAGATATATTCAGTGTTATAGTCATACCTTTCAAATTACGCGGTGTTATGACATACACACAATCATGATCAACCTTAAGGAAAACTCAAAATCCTATTAATTAAGGAAAAAAAAAAGATAGATAGCTTTAGTGGATAATGTCTAAATGGAAAGCTCCATGGAAGCCTCGTGTATGTTCTCAAAAGCCTTTTCCATGCAAGACGTGAGTTTCTCCTCATCTATAAATTCTTTCTCGCTCAGAATGGTAATTCTCAATTGTTCCATGTAGCTTATCACTGTTATCATCAAACTCTGAGGTATACCAACGACGGTAAAGTAGACTCCTTTTACTGGGTGACCACACATAGCCATTTTCTCCCTTGGCCCCATCATGTTAGATATGCTTAAGCTTGTATTTTGCGCCGTCTTGTACATAAATTTGGCTGCTACCTATAAAAAAATTGCATACACGTGCATGGTTAAAATTTGTACTTGTAAAAAAAAGGGTTTGTTTTTAGGAGTATTTGTGGACATACCTCTGGGCCCCTCAGCTTGTGTATCATCTCCATTAGCTTGCCAACAAGGAAAACAGCTGAAGAATATCTCTTTCTCTTGATCATTTTTTGTGCGGCTTTGATGAATTGGAGTGGGTTTGAAAGCTCATACTCAGTGGCTTTGGGAATGTCTATATGCAAGAACGCAAATCGATTCCCCCATGGAGCATTTGAGTTATTGGGCTTCAACATGTCTTGCACAGACTTGTAATTTTCAACCATCCTTGTGTTGATCAAAACCAATGCCGTCGAGTTTGAGTTGGTTGAGTCCGGACAAGTCTCTTGCATATATAATCGAAGTCCTAAGAAGATCATTCCCGTAATCACATCGTTGACCGTCTACCATACCATGGTTCGTTAGAAGAATTAGAATATGATAAGTCGTTTATATGAGTTGAAATGTAGAGAAATATATTGTAACAGCTCAAGCTCACAACTTATAGATATTGTCTGCTTTGACCCGTCATTTGTCGTCGTCAATCTCAATGTGAGATCCCACATCGGTTGGAGAGGAGAACAAAATATTCTCTATAACGTTTTAAAAGGAAAGCCCAAAAGGAAAAGCCTAAAAAATGACAATATCTGCTAGTGGTTGGCTTGGACCATTACAAATGATATCAGAGCCAGACACCGGGCGATGTGCCAGTGAGGAGGCTGATCCCCGAGGGGGTGGACACGAGACGGTGTGCCAGCAAGAACGCTGGCCCCGAAGGGGGGATTGTGAGATCTCACATTTGTTAGGAGGAGAACCAAGTATTCTTTGTAAGGAGGTGAAAATCTCGCCCTACTAGATGAGTTTTAAAAACCTTGAGGAGAAGCATAAACAGAACAATATGTGGTGGGCTGATCCCCGAGGAGTGGACACGAGACGGTGTGCCAGCAAGAACGCTGGCCCCGAAGGGGGGATTGTGAGATCCCACATTTGTTGGGAGGAGAACCAAGTATTCTTTGTAAGGGAGTGAAAATCTCGCCCTACTAGATGAGTTTTAAAAACCTTGAGGAGAAGTCTAAACAGAACAATATGTGGTGGGCTTTAGCGGTTACACTTAAAACACGTCTACTAGGCAGAAGTTTTCACATCCTTATAAGGAATATTTTCGTTCCTCTCTCTAATCGACATGGGATCACCTAGTAGACGTATTTTAAAATCGTGAGAGCTTGAGCTGTTACACTTAAAACACGTCGTACTAGGCAGAGGTTTTCACATCCTTATAAGGAATATTTCGTTTCTCTCTCCATTCGACATGGGATCTACTAGTACACGTGTTTTAAAATTGTGAGGCTGACAATAATCAGTAACGGGCAAAAACAGAAAATATCTATTAACGGTAGACTAAGGCAGTAGAAATCATACCACTCCGAGTTTGGCTTTGATTTGCTTGATTTGATGAAGAGAGAATGTGAATGTTCGTATTGCAAATGTCCTAAACTCCACACCATCACCGCCAGATCTTATGGGTGTCAAGTGGTCTTCAAGGACACTGCTTTTCATTATGTTCCCACCAAAATCCAATACAGTATTCATAGATGAGAACAAAAACTGATACACACGACCTAGAATGTGCCCTGATTGCTCTAACTTGACTTTCCTTGAAGGAAAAGTTAAAGGAAGAGAAGGATCATGTGCTCTTGTCATGCTGGAAATAAGAACACCCATCAAAGAATAGCCATCGCCAAGTGAATGGTGAATCTTGAAAACTAGGTTTCCAGCTGCATTACTGGTTGGACAGTTGATGATATGAATTTCCCACAACGGTTTATTTTGAGACAACTCTTGTAGAGCGTAATTCGTCATATATTCATTGAAATAAGCATCGAAGAGTTGAAGTGATAAGTTTGAGGGTGGAGTATGCACAATAATATGCTCTTCAATTTTTAGTTCAACTTTCTTCCATTTTCTCTCTCCATTTACATCATTCACCTATTTTCAAAAGATGTTAATTTTCAAAGCAAAATCGAAAAACTAAACTTATAATTTAATACAATATCGGGTCGAGAGTCGTATGTTAAGATAGTTGAAATAAAGAGGTTGAGAGTGTACCATAACCGAAGTAAAGAGCGGGTTGAGATGGATGAGATCCTTAGCAAAGCACATAAATTTGAGTTCATCAATGGCGATATCAAATTCCAAAACAGCAATAATAGAAATGGATTGTACTGAGCAGTTCATGTGCTGGGCATTAGGGCTAACTGGCTGAAGCAACTCATCTTCCTTCGTCTCCATCGCCAATTCTCTAGATTTCAACTCTTTTTTTACCCAACCAAATTTCAATATATACATACATAATATATTTATATATATATATACACACATATACACATATACACACACTCATATAGTAAAAACCACCCTTCCCTTCAAATAAATGGGGTTTATTGATCCTATTAATGAGTATCACAACTACTTGTATATGTCTTATTGAATGTATTATTGACACAGCTGTTGAAGTGGTGTGATAAAAAATTTAAGTCTTACTCTTATGGAAACAAACAAATAAAATTTTACATATAACTTGATTTTTTGAGATCCCACGATGGTTGGGAGAGAAGCACAACATTTCTCAAAAAGTGTGAAAATCTCTCCATAGTAGATATATTTTAAAATGGTGAGGTTGATTAGACTTAGGCGGTTACAAATGGTATCAAAGCAATCATCAGATTGAACGAGACAGTAGTAAGACTAGACTCTTTCCATAGTAGATGCGTTAATGGACTGCGTTGTGGGAGCTAACTTCTAGATGGCAATCACCTTCTTTTTCTTGTCCTTATCCTCAATTTTTTTTTTTTTTTTTTTTTTTTTTT